AGCAATATCTCCTTCATTTTCGGTTATGTGTTTACAAGCGCCAACTGCCAACATTTTCTTCCTGTATTTTTCATACCTTACACATTCTTTCTTGTTTCTAATTCTTTATCTCTAATGTGACTAATGAACTAAACATTTTAATATCTCTGATCTTCAAGGGATGAAAGATCTTTCATTATATTCTTTTTGTTTCTATCAATACAATATTTGCTTTGCCAATGATGAAAAGACAATTTTACTTTTTAATTTTACTTTTTTTTTAGGAGATGCGTGCAGTCACACACCTTATATGACCACGCATACATTTTTTTTTTTTTTTTTTTTTGATAACTTAGCCATGGTTTTTTGCATATATTGATAACTAATTGATAAATGCATTGAAAAGAACTAATTTAAGGAGAAAATTAAAATAAACAAACCATAAACTGAAAAGAGAAACAAACTTAACAATTGATAAAGTAAATAAAGCATAAACTAGAAAAAATAAAAGCATAAAACTATTGTATATTTTAATTTAGAAGCAATTTATTAAAAATAATGTATTTTTTAATATAGAAGCGTCTCAATAATTTAAACTTTTAAATTAGTTTAATTTAAAAACAGTTAATTGTTTTAAGCTAATAATTTTTTCTACATTGGCACATTGGTGTAACACTTAGATTGTTTAATTGTGTCATTTTTGAGGCGTGACTGTTATATCGGTATTTGGTGAAGGGTTCAAATACTACTATTGGATAATTTTTTTATGTTTTATTTGATTTGTAGACATTAAAAGTATCAAGGTTTCAAGTTTTTAAATAATTAAGTTTCGAATTAGTTAGGCTTGGATTAAATAACTTTGAAACTTTGATTTTTTCTAAATTCTCTGTATAGAAACACTCTTAAATTAAAAACATATATTAATTTTATGATTTTATTTTTTCAAATTTTTTTTTAAATTTTTTCATTCAGTAAGGTTTTTATTTCTTTTAGTTGAGTTTTGTGTTTGTTTTTTTTAAGTTTTGATTTCTCTTTCTAATTTATAGTTTATTTTTAATTTTAGTTTAAGTTTGCATTTCTTTATTCAGTGTATTTTTTAAAGCGCTGACTTAAAGCATGCAAGGAGCCATGGCTAAATTGTTAAAATTTAGCCACAGCTCCTTTTAAGTTTTCTCCATATCAAAATTCTAGCCAGCTGCACATGCAAAAAATATATGTATACATATTAGTGCTTGCATATATCTTCGCGAGAGTGCTCGATGAATTAAAGTAAATTAAAATGATTTAAATTAAAACAGAGCTGTATTTACATATATTATTTATAAATAAAACCCTGTTTTATTTAGAAATTTTATATGTGTATATATATATATATATATATATATATATATATATATATATATATATATATATATATATATATTTGCATTCACTCCCAACAAGGCTGCAAGCAACCACTATTAAGTTGGGAGTTACTAAGAAAAAAAAAGAACAGAGTTATATAGCAAGGAAACGGTTGACAGAAGACTTGAAAAGTTGAAGGTTGTATGAGTCAGGAAAACATGAAGATAGGAGAGAGTTCCAAAGGATTGAAGTGCAGGGAAAAAAACTAGATAAATAAAAGTTTTTAGAGCATGCAGGAACAAATACAGTAAAGGAATGAGACTTAGCTGAATGACGAGTAAAACGAGAATGAATTTTAGTTGATGGAACTAGAGATGATAACTCCTTTGAGCAGTGACCATGATAGTATTTGTAGAAAAGAGAAAGAAATGCAACTTTACGACGATGGGAAAGAGGCTCAAGCTTAGCAGATAGTCTAGGTCCAACAACATTTACAATGTATTTTTGGACCTTGTCAAGAAGACAAAGTGAATCGTTAGAAGAACCAGCCCAAATATGACAACAGTATTCCATACAGGGACGAAAAAGAGATTTGTAGAGGTAGAGAATGGAATCAGAAGTAAGGAAATGGCGAGCACGATAAAGAGAAGCAACCTTAGCAGAAGCTAATTTAGCAATCGACTGTAAATATGGTTTCCATATATACATATATATATATATATATATATATATATATATATATATATATATATATATATATATATATATATATATATATATATATATATATATATATATATATATATATTGTTGTGGTCGACTTTATTCAAAATATTGTTACCATGAGTTTATTATTGAAAATTAGTCTTACCTTACTTGGTTAAATAGCACAATGGCTGTTAATATTACATACTATTAAAATGATCAAAATTTGATACCAGACATATTTAAGTATTATGTTGCAAAATTTGAAAAAAAATTACTTGTATGGATGGCAATCACTCCACAAGAGGCTACATTAACTTGCATTGTTCCTTCTTGTAAAGTGGTAAATCAATAGATCTACTTAAAAGAGTGTTTATAAAAGCGCTTGCAACCTTTTAATAATAAATATTATCAAGGTACTAAGTACATCTTTTGGCCTCATTTGGCAACATCTCACTAAGCTAATTCGGTAACAAGTCCACTGAAAACCCAGAGGATAACATTTATTCAAAAAATGCTGTAGAAAAGCTGGTACAAGGTACCAATCCCAGACTTGACTAAATTTGAAAATATGGAGTTTTTGAATTAAAATTTTTTTTATTTTTGTATTATGCGTTTTTTATTCTATATACATAGCAAAAATCTTTTTTTAATCATGTTTATATAAGTTTTTTATTAAAGTTTAAAGCCAGTCTCAAATTTTATGATACAGGTGTTGTTGGTTAAGATTACATACAGGTTGCTATAATTGATATTTATGAACTCATTATGCTAAAAAGTTGTTAAATATGAACTCATTATGCTAAAAAGTTGTTAGTAGATCTTCATAAACTTATTAAGGTTTGTGTAAATGTTTTTTTTTGGAGGACAAAGTGCATGTCTTAAAAGTTTATAGTTTAATTGGTTTGTCTGTTATGGTTGTTATGTTAGGAGCTGATTTACAGTTTATCGAATCTAATGCTATTCAAAAAGCTTTAAATTACAATATTGTGCCAATAACTTATAAAATATATATTAGCAATAGTCACATTTAGTTTTTTTTATATTGACAATGAAAACTCTTTTATTATGTAAAAGATATTATAGGTTTATCATTCAAGAGCATATAAAATATGTTCAAAATAAAATATTCAAAATGAATTGAGTTTTCTGATCATAAACACTCATAAAAAACAGTTTTCAGATCTAACCAAAATTTATAAACTATTATTACAAAGAAAAGCAGAAAATCAACTAATTTACACTAAAAATATTACTGCTACTGAATACTGAGCTGTGGCTACTGCTATGGCTGTAGCTACTGCTGTGACTACTGCTGTGGCTATGGTTACTGCTGTGGATACCAAAACTAAGCCTTATACTTAAAAGAGAGTTTATTAAGTCGTTATAAAAACTGTTTTTTGCTTTGGTAACTCTTTACATTAGTTAGCTTATGTAGTGTAAACATGATAAGTTGTTGTGAATGACATAATTCATCAGAAGTAAAAAAAAAATTAGTCATACTGTAACATTCAAAGTTGGAAAGTTATTTTTTTTATTAAAATTTTTGCATTTGTTGGAAAATAGGTTGACAAAAACAATTTCTATTTAATTTTTAAAATTATTCTTTTAAATAGGTCTATGTTTATATTTGTTATAACATTTGATTAATACACATTAAAAAATTTTTTTACTTTATTAAAATATTACTTTAACCTGATATTTATTCTAGAATGCCAAAAGTCTGAGAGTTAACTCCTTACGAGCGACAAATAATTTATAAATAGAGACACAAGGTTTAATCTTTGCAAAATATCACCAACATATTTCATATTTGAGTAGATGTGAATAAAACTTGCAAAAATTTTTCTAGTACGGGATCCTATTTTTCTTTACCTTGAAGTGAACAAAAATAACAACACTGACTAGTTGTGACTGAAGTAAAGAAGACGAAAACTGAAAGAAGATTTAAATTTAACAGTGTGTGTTACCCAAATCAAATCCAGGTTAAATGAAGCTATGTTTTATGACCGTGTGGTTAGGACCATATTTTTTAAAGATTCCACTAAGCATCTTGAGTTCGTCAAGGAATGTGCAGATAAACCTTAACAGTTTGAAAAAGTATTCTTTGTTTGGACAAAATTAAAATTAAATTTAAAATTAAAAACTGTAAAATATTGCCATATGGTGTGGAGAATGACAGGAAGTACTTAAAAGTACTGCATTAAGACCTACATTAAAACATGACTGAGGCTCTGTTATGATTTAAAGCTGTTTTTTTAGTGTAGGTAAATTACAGTTTAATGATGGTAAGTTAACTGCTCAAGTATATATTGATATTATAAAAAATAGTGTGACTTAGTTGATCAGTACATATTTCAGCAGCATAACAACCATAAACATTTTGCCATAGTTACAAAAAAAATCTTCAAAAAAAATCACATTATTTTGTTACCATGATAACATCAGAGCTCTGACCTTAACCCTATACAACTTCTTTGGGACGAATTCACCACAAAATAACCATTTCTAAAGGAGGTTCTAAAACTCATTAAAAAAAATTTTTGTGGTGAAATAAGAATTAATTCCTAAAAAGGCCATTAAAAAATAATTGAGAGTATGTCTAACGATTGCTAAAGGTCATCAACAAGGTCATCATATCAAGAAACTCTTAAACCTCATTAATTTTTTTGAATTAATAAGAGGGTTTTTTTTCTATGATTCTTTGTTGTCAACTTACTTTTAACTTAAATGTTATTAAGAACCAAAATTTTGTACTATTAGTTTTTGTTTATCATTGAAAATGTATTAGTGTGTAGAATAAAAATATTCAGAAAAATAGCATCACTAGTTTGTTTATTTTACTTTGGAAGTTATAAAAAAAATGGTTTTCAACTTACTATATATATATATATATATATATATATATATATATATATATATATATATATATATATATATATATAATTTTCATAAACTTTTCTAATTTTTAGTTTCTGAACCAAATAAAACTATTCAAAAAGCTTTGGTGACATATGCTTATGAGCCAGAACAAGATGATGAATTGGCTCTTACTGTTGGTGATATTGTGGTAATAACTAATACTAAAGTGTTTGAAGGTTGGCTTGAGGGAGAGTTAAAAGGAAAAGTGGGTTTATTTCCTGATAACTTTGTTGAGCTATTACCAATTGAACCATTTAAAGAAGAACCAGGGTGTGAAATATCAAAGTCTAATTTCTCCAAAAATTCTCTTAAAAGAGCAGCTAAAGAAAATCCAGCTATTAAAACTGAATCCAAGATGGACTTAACAGATGTGGAAAAGCTAAAGCCTCAAGTAATTTTTAATGCAATACATGTTATACAAATGTAAAATTCCTTGAATAAATTTTTTAAAATGTAAATTTTTCTTAGGTGGGATTAAATATAGCTACTGACAGCAGCATCTTGAAGCAAGGTACACTTTAAATATTTATTATCTCTCTTTCTTCTTATATTTATAAATGATTAAACGTTGCAGAAAAACTTCACTCCATTTATAATATATTATAACAATGATAAATATCCAATAAGGAGATGTGGAAAAAAAAACATATAATAATATAATCTATAAAGTACTGTGCAGTAAAACAATGATTTAGGATATACTCCCCCCTCCCTGTATGCATATGTATGTTTACAACAACTGATAAACAGTTTATCACCGTAACTGAGGACAATTTGGTAAAAATCACAAACAATCTTTTAAACATAAAAAATACTTAAAAGAGACTATGCTGTCAAAATATATTTAGCAACTAAAAAATAGATATTAATTTTAAATTAACTGGTTTATCTAAAAACTGCATTTTTCTGTAATAATATTTTTCCCAAAGTTATATGCTATGTTTGCAAGAAATTTGAAATTATTATCCATTTGGATCTAAGAAATTCGCTGAAATCAGATTTAATTTCTAAATGTAAATAAGTAGGGTAAGGTAAGTTGATTTTGACATATTAGGCTATTATTTATATATATATATATATATATATATATATATATATATATATATATATATATATATATATATATATATATATATATATATATATATATATATATATATATATATATATATATATATATATATATATATACATATATATATATATATATATATATATATATATATATATATATATATATATATATATATATATATATCAGCTTATTAAGCTATTTTGTTGTTTATAGACAATGGTTGCTTTAATAACATTAAAAATCATGCATGCCCTGCAGATATATCTATAATTTAAGAGCAGTCCATTTGCAAAATGCACTAAAAAGTCCAAAAAATTTTGAGACAATAGTAAAAAACTAAACTATTTTTAGTTGCGCATTAACAGTAATTTATACTTTCTTTCAGATGGGTTCCTCATATAGCAGGTAAAAAATTGCTTCAAACTTTTAAACTTTAATGTAAAATTTGTTATACAAAATACTTAAAAATGACAAAATTAGCGACCTAGTATAGTATTTTCAGCACAATGATATGGTAAATTCGACATACTTTAGGAAATTAAGAAGTTCATTGAAAATGCATTAATATAAATAAAATATTATAAACAGCTATAAATCTGTATCGTTCAAAGTAATTGTCTCTTAAATGGAATTTTTTACACCTAATTGGCATTTAATTAAAGGCGTTGCAATTGTCTAGATTAGTAATTTTTAAACCGCTTATTTTAGTAAAGTATAAATATATTACCCAAAGTAAAAACTTTATTCTCTATTACAAAGCTCTCTATTATATAAAGTACATTGATATTTATTGTTATATATATATATATATATATATATATATATATATATATATATATATATATATATATATATATATATATATATATATATATACACACACACACACGCACTACCCTCCATAATTATTTGATGGAATTAATTAATTAATTATTTGATGGAATTAATTAATTAATTAAATAATTAACTGGAATGGTCAAGTTTTTTGATATAAGATATCAAAGTTTTACTATTGGGAGAAAAACTGAAAACAAAATCTACCTTAATTATATGTTATCTACTTATTATGTTTATACAAAAATTAATATAAAGTCCCATTAAATTAGTTAACAATTTTTTTGCCTATAAATCACCATTAGCATCAATTTCCACTATACATATTCAGAGATTGTTTTAAAGCAACTTTTGATATTTTTTTAAATTTATTAAGCGGTAAGATTAAAGAAGCGGTAAGATTAAAGAAACTTTCTTTTAAATTTATTAAGCGGTAAGATTAAAGAAGTAATTAATTTTATAAAAAACCACTTTGACGATTATGTAAAAAGGTTTGAATGACAATTATGCTAGATGTAAGGACTATTTACTAATGAAAAACACTAAAAGGGCTATTTACTAATGAAAAAAATTAAAATATAAAAACTTAATCTCTATTAAGCTAATTATTTTATCGAACAGAAAACAAAATTGTTTATAGTAACAATTATTTATTTTTTTTATGTGAAGTTATTAAAAAAATAAAAGAAAATATAAAAGAAATATATATAATAAAAACTTTTATTTATCATCTTGAAAGGACAAGAATTGTTTATGCAACTTTTGATTGTTTAAAAGAAATTTACTTAAATTTCTATTCTATAGTAATAAATAATTTCTACTTTATTTTTTTTTTTATTTATATATTTTTTTTTTTTTTTTTTTTTTTTGTAATGATCGATTTTTTCGCTTGAAAAACGCTAATGCTTTAAGCTTGAAGCAAAGATCATTATAATGTAATTTATTTCTGATAATAAAATAAAAGATTTAATTCAAAACTAATTTAACAAAAATATATAATTTTATTCTGATAAAAAAAAAATTAATTTAGTTTAGATTTAAAAAATATATAATTAAATTTTGATATAAAAAATATATTTAAGTTTATTTAAATTAAAGTCAATGCTTGGGTTTAACTTAACTGTCATATATTTTTTTTTAATATTACTAAATATTATTCAATATTTGAATTTAATTTGTTCTTAAAAGAAAATTAGCTCATTTTTATCGCAATTATATATATATATATATACATATATATATATATATATATATATATATATATATATATATATATATATATATATATATATATATATATATATATTGTGTATGTTATATATACATATGATCACATATTGTGTCAGGTCAGGTTTATCCTGCTACTGGTAACATGTAACCCAGTACAATCTGCTTCATGTCCTGCTGCCTTGTAGGATGTGTTTTTTTAGGCAAAGGCTAGGAAATGCAAACTCCGACATAAAACACCCCCTGCCTTGGGCTCTTGGTTGAGTAATGGCTAGAGATGGTGTCTCGATAAAAATACTCATCTTGGGCAGATGTTAAATGCTACCGGCTGCTGTCTTGTAGAAGGCCTTCTAGGCAAAGACTTAAGGGGTAAACAGTTTCTATCTGTTGACCAGCCTCGCACCCCATCTTCATCTATTAGGCTGGCGCAGATGTATTTTTAATACATTGTTTTCAGTTTAGGATGTTGAATTCTGGATCTTCTTGACTCAATTCATGGGTTTTGCTTTTGTCTCTGTTTTTATGACTAGGCAACTCATTCTATTATCTCCAAATGAGGGTACAGCTCTAAAACTCAGTTTTATGGTTCTGAGGCCGGCTGGTAGTCAGGTTTCCTGAACTCTGTGGTATCTTTTAGAGAGGCTGATTCCATCAACAGCCGAAAAATATCAGAGTACTAACAGTGCCATGTTGCGCATGGATGGTGTCCCTATTTGTACTTTTGGTGTGCATTGCCAAGGCCACATTGGAGCCCTTTGTTACGGCTTAGGGTTTATTAGTGGAAATGAGGCAATTGCTTGGGCTATAAGACAGTGTACTGAGTACTATCTATGTTTCGTGTCAAGTTCTTTAACAAATTTAAAAATTAATAAAGTAACAAAAACTATAAAACACAAAAAACCACAGTCATCACCAAGTTCGCTAAATCTATCATTCACCAATATTCGTGGTCTTCGAAGTAACTTTTCTTCTGTTGAGTCTTATCTCTTGCAAAGTTCACCAGACCTACTTGCTCTTTGTGAGACTAATTTGAGTTCAGCTGTCTCATCTTGTGATCTTAGTGTTGATGGTTATCTTCCATTAATTTGTAAAGACTCCAATAGTCACATGCTTGGCCTAGGCATTTACATTCGTAAGAATTCACCCATTTGTCGGGAAACTAGGTTTGAATCCACAGGCTACTCTTTTATGTGCTTTCGTTTAGCACCACTTCACTCTATCACCTTTCCCTTTGTTCTATATCGCTCTCCCTCATCTTAAGACTGCACTCTTCTTGATGTTATTTCTGATTATATTGACCAAGCCCTCATTCTTTATCCATCAGCCAATATTGTTGTTGTTGGTGACTTTACTGTTTATCACACTGAATGGCTTGGCTCTACTGTCAGTGACTCTGCAGGCATTAAGGCCCACAACTTTTGTCTTTCTCAATCCCTAACTCAAATAGTCAACTTTCTAATTCACTTTCCAGACAACCCGAATCATTTACCTTCTCTACTCGACTTATGTCTTGTTTCTGATCCTAGTCAGTGCTCAGTTTCTTCACACTCACCCTTAGGTGCTTCTGATCATGGTTTGGTCTCTCTAAAACTATTATCTCATTCTTCTTTACCATCAGAATCCCCCTATCATCGTACATCTTACAACTACCTTAAAGCTGACTGGGACTCTTTCTGTGATTTTCTTCATGATGCCCTCTGGGTAGAAATCTTTCGTCTCCCTGTTGACAAATGTGCTTCTTACATAACTTCGTGGATTCAGGCTGGCATAGAATCCTTTATTCCCTCTCGGCGATTCTAGGTCAAGCCTCACTCTTCTCCATGGTTTTCCTCACATTGTGCTGCTGCAATTGCCAATCGAAACCATTACTTCCATATCTATCAGCAAAACGATTCTCCAGAAAACAGACGTCTGTTTATTACTGCTAGAAACAATTGTAAAAAGGTTTTGTCTAATGCCAAAGCCCGCTATTCTCATATCATGAAATCTCGTATTTCATCACAAAAATTAGGCTCTCGTGACTTCTGGAGAATCTTTAATAGTATCAATAATAAGGGCAAGTCTGTAATTCCACCTCATTTGTATGGTTCAGACTTTGTCACCTCACCTAAAGACAAAGCTGAATTGTTTGCCAAGAACTTTTCATCAATATCATCTCTTGATGCCACTAGTTGCGTTCTACCTGATATAGTCATCAAACAGGTTGATCCATTGCTCGACATTCGTATCACTCCAGCTTCTGTATCTAAAGTGATTTCCTGCTTAGACTCTTTTACAGCTTGCGTCCCGGACAACATACCTGTTATAGTCTTGCAGAAGTGTTCTCCGGAGCTGTCGTCTATCCTTTTAAAACTATTTAACAAGTGCTTATCAGA